CTGGCCAATTTGCTGATAGCGCCCGGTCTTTCCAAGATTGCTTACAAGCAAGCTAACGGTGGTTTCGGCTCCTTGGATTTGCTAGTGCCAGTTCTTCATTGAAATGAGTGGAAAAATCGTAAAGAGAATGGTTGACCGACTGATGCAGCGGATTCGAATCGACCTTTAGCATGAGAACAGCATGCTAATTACCACAACACAGTGCCAGCGTTTTCTTAATATATATTTTCAGCCTCTTTCTCAATCTAGCTGACATCTCTTTTTTATTCCCCTCTGTTTTGGGCTTTTCTTGTCCCACGGTTCCATTTATCCGTTCAAATGGATCCTTCCGCTGCATTGGCTACCTTTTAGTGTTCATTTGCAGTGAGTGGAAACAGTAAAATAGTCTGCTTCGTTTGCATTATTTTTTACCTGAATTACTGTTCCAAAACTGTTTCAATTCTGTCGCATGACAACCACTCATACCTCTGTATCTAAGACGCTAGATGGGGAAAATGGAGTTTTTCAAGCTATCTACACATGACCAGTATTTAAAAAATGTTGACTTCTGTGCCCACAATCTTCCACCTGTAGATTTTGTTAACCCTGTGATAATGGCACAACTCTTTCGATAATTCGTGATGATCGATTAATCAGTTCCATTTAGTGAGGCTCTATTGATAAGCAGTTATGTGGATGGCGATGATGAGGAAACTCGAATGATGCGCCGTGCTATGGTGCGATATATGTGTTTGGCACAAGTACTGGTCTATCGAGATATCAGTATACCAGTTCGGAAGCGCTTTCCAACATACACAGCCATCGTCAAGGCTGGTCAATTTTCGTTCCTATCCACCCTAAAACAATAGATGGTAACTCAGGGCCGGCACAGTTGCACTCGGCATATGAGAACATCCTGTTAAAATCACAAAGATAGATAACACACCGATGTCGCGGAAATCCAGTGAAAAACCGGACAGAAAACGTCATCACAAAGAATTAGAAAAAGTAGACAAGAAATAGGGGGGTATGTCTGCCTTAAAAGATAATGGATACACAGTAGATGTGTTCCCAGGTTAAGCCCCGGACAAAAGCGCCAATGGTGCACACAGGCAGCATATTGCGTCTAGATGTGGAGAGAAGTAGTTTGATATTTCTTTGGTCCACGTCAAATTGATTGTTCGTGTGGTTTTGGCATTCTCGATAAAGTAGTGCATTTTTCCCACACTTCACTGTTTGTTTTTATTTTTTTTTTCTTTATTGAACGTCACAAAATCAACAACAATAAATAAATATTTTAGGATTTATGACGGCGCGTGAAATGAAAAAATTGTCAGATATAGATTTGGAGTACGACAAATATTGGGTACCAATCAACTGGACATTTACACTTTTTCACAATGCGCGGCGAGCCAAGAAAATTAGTAGCGATGTGATGACCAATAAATTATGTGATGTTA